GGGGGAGGCGGCGGGCGGGCAAGGGAGGGGGCGGGGGCCCCGGTGAACTGCCCCGCCCTGCCCTGCGCAGAGGTCTGGGCTGGGGGGCACGCGGGTGGCAGGCCCATCGGGGAGCCAGCTCCAAGCTGCCCTCAGGGAGCTCCAGGGGAAATGACCCCTCCTGTGAGGATGGGGGAGATTTCTCATTAGTCCCTGGGCCACCGCCTGCCGGAGCCTCATGTGCCCATAGGTGGCAAGGGGGCCTCCAGTTCTCCACGGACCCTCCAGGTCCTTTCACTCACGATGCCTGGCCCTGGGGCATTTGAGACGGAGATCTCGGACTTCAGCGGTCCAGGTGGGGTGTGCCCACAGAGGCAGGGGATGCAGACTCCCGGGTTCAAATTCACGGGTTAGCTGGGGGCCTCCTTAGACCTCCCCTCTCCCCCAAAACACACGTAGAACGGGACTGAAATGAGAAAGTGCAGCTTATGGCACAAGCCTGATCATTGGGAAGCACTCGGGCCCCAGCAGGGCTAGGAGCAGGTCATCCATAACGTGTATAATCTTAAGGAGAATCCCTGTGGGAGAAACAGTTCTCAGAGATTCATCTTTGAAAAGAAGGAGTTTCAGATGCCTTCTGGGGAGAAGGTTTAGGACAGGATGGGAGGGAGCCTGTGGGGAACACTGAGTGGGGTGAGGGATGGACAGCTACCTCCCTCTGGATGGAGAAAAAGTGTCCCTAATTGGTTATGGAGGCAGTAAAGTCTCCACTCTCAGTTCTGCTTGGACTGCCCCTGAGGGTGCCGTGGGCTTTAATAACGGAAAATGGCTCAGAGTTAGCCCCAACCTCTCCTCCCAAGGCCAAGGCAAGAGCGACCACGGCTTTATTTTGTTGTTGTTTGTTTGTTTTTTTTCCTTTGGAGTGAGATCACAGCCCTTAAAGATGCTCATAATTACAGACTCCGGAGGTTTGAGCACTGCCTCTTGTTCAGAGACTGGGCAGGCACTCAGGACCAAGAGGCTCCTACAAGGCCCTTTATAAGAAAGACGACATGGCGCCCCCTCCTGGTGGAAGAAGCACATAAGGTGCTTCCCTCCCGGTGTGCAAGTAAAAAAAGGTGCCCCTTCCCTTGGATGGCGACAGGGCACGGGGATTCCAGCCTCACTGCCGTCCAGGCCAGCTGCTGCTGGCAGTGCACCAGCCGAACAGCTGTCCCTGACATTCCTGGCGGCCTTCACAGACATCATCTCGTTTTATGCTCACACAGTCCCAGGAGGTGCAGAGACTGTTGTCAGCCCTATTTTACAGCCGAAGACACTGAAGCTCAGGGGAGCCGAGCCACCTGCAGAGGTTATACAGCAAACAGAGCTAGAGTTTCAGCCAGTCTTCTGTGAGGTGCCCACTGCCTTAGGCCCCGAGGGCAGGGTTGTGGGGCCCCTGCGTCAGTATACACAGGGCCCCTCACTGCCTGAAACATCCCAATCCCAGACACCCACACAGCTCACTTCCTCCTCTCCTTCAGATCCTGGTCCAGAGGTGGCCACTTTCTCAGGGAGACTCCCCTCTCTGCATGGCAATCCCTCCTCCAGCCTTCCCTTACCCTCTTTACCCGCTTCAGTTTTCTTTATAGTCCACCCCGAATATTGTGTTTTGTTTGTGTGTTCATTGCCTGTTTCCCCCGCTTGAAGATCAGCCCCACAAGGAGAATTTGGTCTATTTTATTCATTGCTCTATCCCTACCATCTGGGCCTCGAAAAGTTATTCAATGAATCAATGATTCATAAAATAATGAAATGACTAGTTTTCACTGGCCAGCAGAAAGAGACATAGTTAGTCATAATAACAGTGGGAATGCTATTTAACACAAGGTTTCTCACCCTTGGCACTCTTGGGGGTTAGATAATTCTACTCGAGGTTGTGTTGGGGGGCTGACCTGGGCATTGTAGGATACTGAGCAGCATTCCTGGCCTCTATCCATTAGAGGCCAGTACTACCCCCACTCCACATTGTGACAACCAAAAATATCTCCAGACTTTGCCAAACGTTCCGTGGAGAACAAAATTGCTTCGAACTGAGAACCATGATCTAACAGGAGCAGATGACTTGCAGTGCACCAGGCCCTAGTCTAAGCAGCTTACACACTTCATTGCCTTCCCCGGGGGTGGAGAGACTATTTTCAAAAGGGAATCCTGAGATAAGGGCTGGGGTACAGGGAGTTTATGTAGCAGGTGACCCCAGGAAGTTCCAGTGAAGGAGCAGAGAGGTGAGCCTGTCGGCCTCCAGGCCTTCAGGAGTCTGCTGATGGAGGGCAGGCCTTAACCAAGTTTCAGTTTTCCAAAAAGTATAGCAAAATGTGCACACTTCCCTGCTGCTCAGAAACCTTTGACCAATGCAGAGGAGCATACAAATAGTAAGTGTTGATATATTTCCTATTGGTAAAAGATGGCATCGAAAACATTTTCTAGTGTGTGGTGAGAAGCAGAAAGGAAAACCCAGAGGATTAGAAATAGTGGCTGTGGAACGTCGTCATGCCACCCCTCTAGTTTGGAAATTGCAAATTATTGGTTTGTTCCCCCTGCTGTTTCCATTTCCACACTGTGAGGTGATCCAGCATTTTACCAATACCCATCTATGTACTTTCAAAGGCGCTAGACACACATGAACCTCTTTAATTTTGTCATATTTCTGACTCAGAGTAAAACAGAGGTCAAAAGCAAGTGTAATCTCAGACCAATTTCATTTGATCTCCAAAGTGTTTTAAAATTGTTTAATTACTAGTTGCCAAACATTTAAAAACCAGAAGATTTATATTAGTTAGATTTACAGCTTAAAACAAAAATCAGCTCCGGAAACACTGGGAATGGCTGGCCGAAGCTGACCAACAGCTGACCCACTGGGGCAGAAACACTCTCAGGTTTGCCATATCTGTTTGTCTGACCGAGCCTGGTTTTCTCCTTTATATTATCTGTCTGCCTCCGGGAGGTATTTGGGCTTTCAACCCCTGCTTTGGATTTTTGAAGACCGTCCAGTCTACTAAGTGGGTCACTCTTCTGCTTAAAAATGTACCTGGTTATAGAACATGCTGTGCTGCTGTAACAAAAAGACCCATAAACTCAGGGGCCCAACCTATGAGGCGTTCGCTTCTCCCTCAGTTAAAAGGCCAGAGGTAGACGGATGGTTCATGGCAGCCAGGTGGTTCTGATCCACAGTCATCCAAGGACCCAGGTTCCCGCCATCTTGTTGCTCCACAAGATCAAAGTGGCTCCCAGCCTGTGGGGAGAGGGAGAGGGAGACAAAGGGGAGAAAACAGGTGTTGATGCAACAGCAAGACCAGAAATTACTAGTACATCATCACTTCTGCTCACATTCCATTGGCCAGAACTCAGTCACAAGACCACACCTAGTTGCAAGAGAGTCTGGGAAATGTAGTCTCCAGCTTGGCCACACAGAGGCCAGCCAAAACTCAAAGTTCTGTTACTGAAAGGAAAGGGCAAGTGTATGCTGGAGAACCACCAGTGTTTCTCCCCCAGAGGCGGGGGCATTTCTCAGCTGCCTGAGGAGGGCCTCAATTTAACCGTGTATTACTTTGTTAGTTGTAGATTGGCTGGTCGAGCCGAAACCTCGATGGCTTGGTGGCAACGGCTGGCTCCTGGATGGCCCTGAGGAGGTGTTACAAGGTACCGACAGAATCATACCCAGACCTGACGTCATAGCCAGGATCCCTCTTCTCAAGTCACCAGAATACTGATAACAGAGGCTGCCTGCCCCTAAATACTCAGACCTCTTGGAGCCTCCCCCACCCCAACACAGAGGGGGCGGGTGGGGCTTGGCCAGGCTCTCACGTCCCCAGGACAGCATAGAGTTTGACTCTCCCTGGGAATGGGGCTTCCTTCCTGGTGGAGAATTGAGAGGAAGGGTGCTTGGGGCTGGTTTACAGATCCCTAAAATCCCAATAAGGGGCTTGCTGCCTCCTGATGATGGGTGGAGAGCAGTTTCCAAAAAGAACCACGTGCAGGCCCAGGGCCTAGAGAACTGTAGGGTTCAAGGTGTACCTTCACATATGTCATGTGCGTGTGATTCTGCACACTTCTGTGTGTGTCACTGTGCCCATGAGAGTATACAGCTGTGAAAGAAACTGGGTGTGTATGTCTGAATATTTGTGTATCTGTGTTCATGTAAATGTGTGTAACTATACATGTGAATGTGTGTGTGTGTGCGTGCAGGATTTGTGTGCATGTGAACATGTGTGTGGGTGGCTGTATGTGTAGTGTATATATGTGTGTTAGGACTTGTGGGGTGGTGAAAATGTGTGTGTGATGTGTGAGTGTGTGTGTATGTTTCAGGATTTTTGTGTATGAATATGTGTGTACACATGTGACTATGAGCATGAGCATATGTGTTTCAGAGTGTGTGAGTGAACATGTGTTTGCACAGCACTATGCATCCGAAGGCATGTTTGGGGTCACGTGACTTCGAACTGCTCCCTGTGTGTGTATGTGTGCATGTGTGCATATGTGTACACGTGCACACATGACACTGTGAGTGAGACCCAAGGCTCAGCCTGGAACCTGGGGGCACAGTCGTGAGGTGGCCCCTCTGGATAACATGTTCACTGTGCTCACTGCCTCCGTGGAGGGGCCACCCCTGAGACCCTGGCATGTGTCCTTCCCGCAGCAGAGACCTGCAGCACCACAGAGGACGGGGCGGAGCCACTCCTCTGTCCCTCGGGCTACGAGTGTCACATCCTGAGCCCGGGTGACATGGCCAAGGGCATCCCCAACCGTGGGCAGTGCGTCAAGCAGGGCCCAGCAGGTGAGTGTGGGTGCCCAAGCCCTGCCCCCACCTCACCCTCCTAAAACCCCCACATGTCGGAGCCTGGCTAAGGGCTCTTTCTGTCCTACCACCCTGATCCTCCTTTCAAATCTTCCATCCTTTGCCCCGCGCCAGCCCCGCCGCCTCCTCGCTGGGTGACCTTGGGGTCAAGTGCTTCAGTCTCTGAGCCTCGGATCCCTTGTCTGTAAAATGCGGCCACTTCATGCTATTATGAGGGTTCATTTAAATCCTACATAAAAGCCTCAGTAAACGTCTGATATTTTACATCCATCTGTGTGTCTATGTTTTGAATGATCTCAGAACCCTTAATTTCTGCTAGGACCATTCAATGTTGCTTAATGAGTCTGTCTTTGGGGAGGAAAGCCGTAAATAAAGTGGTGAGGAGTATGAATAGCATCATTTTAGTTTTTTTCCCAAGAGTGGAAGGACTGGATGGTGGTACCTAAAACCCACATGTGCCTCACGCAAGACGTGAGGCTGAGAGGTTTGGTATGGATTTGCAAGAAATGTGTGGCAAGCGAAGAATCTGGAACTTCAGGGAGATGTAGGGCAGCTTATCAAAGGAGAGCTCATTGGAGCTTCAAGTCCACATACTCCAGGCCCACGTCCTCACTTCTGCCCTCTGAGTCAAGATCAAGGATAATTACAGTGACTCTACTGGCCAAAAAAAACACATCAGAGTGCATGGTTGGTCAAAGCTTCCCCCACCCCCTTTTGAGAAATTTATTTCTCTCAAGTGTTTCAAGAAAGACATACACATTCAATCAATTGCACATTTAGCATCATTATAGTTGCAAATAAGAAAATTATGAGACATTAGAACTGTTCTGAGAATCCTGATCGCTGGAATTCTGAGCTTTGAAACAAATTGAACCGATGAGGCATAATTTCTCCAATATTCCACTTGCTTTTTGGGTTACTGGCAGGTTCTGCAGCCAGACAGCCTGGGATTCCAGTGGCCACCGGCCCCTCACTGCTGTGTATCCCAAATAGTAGAACCTTCCCAGGCCCCATTTTCCCTATCTGTAAAATGGGCTTTTAAGAGTTAAGCGGCCATGCCTCTTGCTTCAAAGCACAGAACAGCATCTGTAGACGCCAAAATCAAACCTTAGGAAGATGAGGCATGTGGCCCACCAAACGCAAAACCCCGAGGGCAGGCCAGCCTGCAGGAACACGCTGGGGTACGAGAGAAGCAGCCTTTATCAAGAGGAGCTGCGGGGTGGGTCAGGAGTCCTTTGGCCTGTAATGTCATTTTTCATAGCTGGAAAGGCCTGGAACTACTCCACCTCTATCTTCCCTGATCTTGCTCATTTAGTTATATGAAAGCCACTTCAAGGCCACAGATAAGCAGAGAGACCGGTGAAATGATGCCTGCTGTTGATGGAGTGCCTCAGAGACACTGCCTTTCCGCTTTATCGCAAGCCTGCAGGAGTAGTATAACCAGAAGGCAGGGTCAGGTAGGCTTAGAGTGCCGGCTCAGAGCCACTGAAATGGGTTCGAACCCTACAGCTTTCTTCCCTGGTGACCTTGGGCAGGTAACCTAACATTTCCTAGCCTCAGTTTTTCCATCTGTAAAAGGAGCTAGTGATGGTCATGATGGCAATTGCTTCATGGGGTAGTGACAGGCTAGAACAGTGATGGCGAACCTTTTGAGCTTGGCGTGTCAGCATTTTGAAAAACCCTAACTTAACTCTGGTGCCGTATCACATATAGAAAGTTTTTGATATTTGCAACCATAGTAAAACAAAGATTTATATTTTTGATATTTATTTTATATATTTAAATGCCATTTAACAAAGAAAAATCAACCAAAAAAATGAGTTCGCGTGTCACCTCTGACACACGTGTTATAGGTTCACCATCACTGGGCTAGAATGAGAGAGCACCTGAAAGGCCCTTAGAGCAGCGCCTGACACATAGTAGGTCTTCAAGAAATGTATGCCGCTATCTCTCCGTCTTACGGAAAAGGGAGGACAAGTTCAAGACCTTGCCCAGACAGTGCATACAGCTAACAAGGAGCAGAGAGGGAATGTGGAGCCTGTTCACCTGCTCCAAAGCCCGTGGTGTGTGTGTGTGTGTGTGTGTGTGTGTGTGTGTGTGTGTGTGTCCTCCCCTCCACAGGAAGATCTGAGCCTTGCAGATAGGAATGCAAATGAAATTTCTACCGTTGGCCCCAGGGGACTGTCACTTAACCAGAATTGTTGGTACTTCTTGGGAGTTTGAAACCACCCTGAATTCCAACAACTTTCCTTGGAGCACAGGTCTCAGAGGGGAGAGGGGCGCTGTTGAAGCAGACGGATCAAGGAAGAAGCCTTTTATTTTATTTTTTTAAAACTACGTATTTTAGACTAACAGGAAGTGAAAAGAATAGTACCGTGGACCCCCTGACAGTGGCTGGCCGACTGTGCCATGAGCAGACACGACCAGCCAGAACTCATCCCAAGGAGAGG